TATGTCCATCCGGAAAAATCATGTCTACACCCACCAGTTTGAAAATGTCTCAAAATGTACCTTAGGGGGAGACATAGTGTCATCTCTCCAACACCCTTGGGCCCTGTGGCATAAACGAGCTACCCTGTGACACATATGTGTGTCATAGTGAGGGTGATTGTTTCAAAACAAGTGTCTAGGGCGACTTCCTTTGAAATGAGGTTTTCAAGGACAGTACTGAGGGGCATGAATGTGCTAGTATCTCACCATTACCCATGTGTCGAAGGTTAGATTCTGCATCCGCTATCTGGTACGATATCTATAAATGACATGATATGGGCACGGAGAGCATGCCTCGATAGAACCTAGATGAATGGATGGTTGGGATGCCTCGATGTTATGAACGACACGTGGGCTCATTCTCGATGGCATGACCGAGTGAGATGCAGTAGGCTACGAAGTGACTTGGAATGACGAACTTTTTTCTAAAAATATTATTTTTCAAGCAACGACAAGAACGTACGAAACGTGTGACAAGGTGTTCACTAATCGGGTCATGGAGTTTAGGTCAACACGAACTTTTTTCTTTATTGTAGGTCTCGAGTTCGATTTGGATTGAAGTTGGATTTTTATGGTTGGAGTAAGTTTTCCAAAAAGAAGCGGTAGAAGTCTATTAGTTACAATAATCTTGCATCATTCATCTAAATTGAGAAGGGTAAAAATGACATTTTGTAAAGAGAAAAAGGCAAAATTTGATAAATAGACCAAAATAGAGCTTATCCAAAGTGTGCGAGCGGCTGCCGGAGAAAACACCATGGCTTTACTTCTCTGCTCCAATCCCGTCTCCACCTCTCTCCCTTCATCACTATTTCCGCTGTCGCCGTCATGTTTCCCGATGAACTCCGCCGCCCAATGTACGCCTATCTTTCTCTCCCCCTCCCGGATTTCCTTTACCGCCTCTTTGTTCGATACGATCGAACGAATGCTTTTGTCTAATTCTGTAACTTCATTTCTCTTTTTACTTTATTCTTTTTGCTGCGTGTTAATGCAAATGAAGAGTTTCGTTTTCACGAACACGAAGACTTGTTTTATGTACTTGAAGGAATTGTTTGTAGTCATTTGTTTGTCAGGCATTTTGTCAAGCAGTTAGTATCTGTGTGTTAGAGGCTTTTGATTTTACGCTTTTAAGTTGATGTGCACTGAATTTCTATTTCCTGAGTGTGTTTTTTTTTTTTTTCTGTAACTTGTGTTTTAAATGCTGAATGATCTGCTTCCTGTTCATCACCCTCAATTTTACGTGGTTACGGTGGAGAATAGTTGGGAGGAAGTCTAAAAAATTTGCTAAGTAAGGGAATGATCATGGATTTATAAGTAAGAAATACATCGGTAGAGAGTAGTGATTTCTAACATGGTATTAGGGTCATCTCCTTAACCTAGTTACGTTAATAGAATCCTCAAATGTCAAATAAAGAAGTTGGGACCCTCAAAAGCATAGTCAAAGTTGTTGGATGATGAAAGTCCCACATCGGTTAATTTAGGGAATGATCATGGGTTTATAATCTAAGAATACACTCTCCATTGGTATGAGGCCTTTTGGGGAAGCCCAAAGTAAAGCCATGAGAGCTTACGCTCAAAGTGGACAATATCATACCATTGTGGAGAGTCGTGTTCGTCTAACAAAAGTGACTCAAGTGTCGAACAAAGGGTGTACTTTGTTCGAGGGGAGTCTCTATAGTATACTTTGTTCGAGGGAAGGATTGTTGGGAGGGTATCAGACATTGGCTAATTAAGAGAATAATCATGGGTTGGTGATTTCTAAGAAACAACTTTTGCAATATAACCTCAATCTTTGGCTTTAATTTGAATGACTGTTCCCCTCCTTTTTTATAATGTATCTTGGCTCAATTTCCTCTACTTTGCTGTTTAAATTTCAGGTTCTATGTTGTTCATGAAGCCTAATGTGTTTCAGCCAAAACATTTCAATGGAGTTGGACTTCGAAACCCCTCTTTGATTGAAAATAGATCGTCATTGATTGTGAAAGCTGCGTCTGAGATTGATGCTACGGTAGAAACAGACAGTAGTGAACCACAGCCCCCTGCAGTTCCAGTTGACAAACTTCCATTAGAATCAAAGCTGCAAGAGAGGGAGGAGCAGAAGGCAAGGATGAAGCTAGCAAAGAAGATAAGACTTCGGAGGAAGCGGCTTGTTCAGAAGCGCCATTTGAGGAAGAAGGGACGATGGCCTCCTTCAAAGATGAAGAAATTGAAGAATGTTTGATAACCAAGCTCCTTCAGCTATTGCAGGTTTAGAGCTTTACCCACTTCTCATTACTTCTAATTTGTTTATACTTTAATGAAAACGTTCTTGCTTCTTTTTATATCTGAAAGAAATCAATGAGTGATGGAATATGAAACTTGTGGGTAGATTTGAATGTCTAATGTTGAGTTCAAAGGTATTCTGTACAGTTTTCAACAGACATAGGCAATTTCTTAGGGATTTAGACACGTGAAATTGGTTCAGAAGACTGTTTTATTCCTTTAAATGTACTAAAAAGATGTATTCTTGTTTCTCCAATGAGGCACGTCTGAGTCAATGCTCTATAAAAAAAAAAAAAAAAAAAAAAAGAGTTTGAGCTCGGCGTGCCTGTCTTGATGTGTGGCTGACACGTTGAATAGACAAAGTTGGGCGAAAAGTAAATAGACACTTGAGTAAACATAGAGTTTTGGTTTTGATGCCAAATCTTAGTTTAAATCCTTGACATATTCTAATGGCATTAGTAACTTTGTATAATACATTTAAATTATGACATAAGCGTTCTTATTAAATTTCATGTCATTTAGAAGTCACTTGGGTCATAAGTCACTGGTACATAATTATAGGGACATTTTGAGTATTATAGGGTATCATAAAAATTAACAGGAACTTCTAATGATTTATAAACAATTTTTCATCTCTATGGTTATAACACTACGTATTTTAACTATGTTCGAGACGTATAACTGAAACATCAAACCTTCCTTAAGAAAATCATTTTCATGCATAGATAGTGTTTAGGAGCTTACTAAACTATAACTCCCCATTCACATTACAAACTTTGCTAAATCTAAACCTCATCAATACATCAATTAACATTCACATTCCAGGTAAGGTAAAACATAACATAACGAAACAACCTAGTTTATTATATTTTGTAAGGTATACCTAACAGAAATGGAGCATCAATGGTGGAACCATCGAACGTGTTGAGTCTACCTCGTAGGCTAGTCTATAGAATATATAACCTAGCTTTTCGGTGTCCATTCAATTATGTCATAGTTTATAGGGATTATACAAAGTTACAAGGCCATTGGTATATGTTAAGGATTTAAACCAAGATTTGAGGTGTTAAATGACCAAAATACCCCTTTGAGATTTCTAAGAAGTTTTCAAAATCCTAAAAGACTCAAAATACTACCGAAATTTATATGAGACTCATTTATGATATTGAGCACAAATATGCAACATCTTAAGGGGGTTAGAACAATTTTAGGATATGAACCGAGAGAAAAAGTACAAAACTACCCCTCAAAGACATTTTATAAGAAATCAAATTATTTTATGAATACCAAGTGCGAAGGTGCTTATCAAAGATTTATGCATGCGAATAAATGTTTATGACTCATGTGGATTAGGATGCACTTGTTAAGAAATTTGTCTTAGTTGTGCTTCAAGACTTAACAAAAAAACTCTTAGAACTAGAACTCGAGATATCCTAAAGACCTCCCAATGTGTAGTGCAACATGGTCCTATGACACAAACTACGTTGCTGGGAACGCATGAAGCCCTAGACATAGGTACTTAGACTATGTCGCAAGGAATGCAGGAAGCCCTAGACATAGATATGTAGATTGTATCGTAGGGAACACATGAAGCCTTGAACATGGGTGAGGATTGAGTTGTTCACTAAGCATAGAACCCCATAAATCTCTCAGGGGGAGTTTCATTGTGGTAGTTATGAGTGATTTTGAGGTCTTTTTTATGATTTATGGCATTGTGTTTACCATGATGTATTGATAGCCCTTTCCCGCCGTGGTGTTTGGCAATGAGCTCATTAGCAAGTGCTGGACCGACAAACCAAGGCCAAAGGGATGCACGAGCCTACCTGATCGACCCATGCTCACACGTGTGGGTCTTGTTTAGAGAAGTACTACACATTCAAACTTGCTCAAATGAGAAAGTTGCCTAATTCCCTATCCCCAATTGTATTCCATAACACCAATAGTGAGGTCACTTACTATTTTTTAAAATAGTCAGACCATGTACTACTCTTACATTTCAAATAAAAGCAAGCATCTTTGCGCACCACGTTGACTTTGTGTTTGAGTCATAGTCATAAAGACTTTATAAAGAAGATTCAACCAGAAGAAGAGATGGAGCAAATAAATTAAAGATTCGTAGGAATATTCTTGATATTACTTCAGTGCAAGTTTGTTTAACGTTTAATTTTATTTAATTCTATATAAAATCAAAATCGATTCTAATATTCTTTGCAAAGAATGAAACATTTCTTCTTAATAATTCGATTATCCATATAGATGTTCTCTCTGACTGTATTTATAAGCCTAAGAGTATAGCTATTACAAGATCTAAACTAAACGAGGAAATGAATATGAATTTATAATCTTAGAGTCACTTCAAATAATAATAATAATAATCATCATGTGTCTCATAAATTCTAATTTAGTTTTTATAGTTTTAAATATTAGAATTAGTTCCTCAATAAATTTTTTTATAAATAATCTCTATTATAGAAACTATTTATATCATTTGATCGAAAATCTAACTCTTATGGCTATATAAATTAAACTTAATCGACAAAATTTTGTAGTTAAATCTTCTTAATCCTAATCACTGCCACATCATTGATTCCAAAATTTGAATGAATAATGATATTTTTGAAATAAATGACAGATTTTGGAGGTTTTATTTATTTATTTATTTTTAAAGAATGTAGCCAGAAAATTGTAGAACATGGCATGAACTCGTTAAAAAGGATTAAATTTGCAGTTGAAGGCTCCATTAAGTTTTGACGGAGGAATTTAAACCTATTTGTTGAGTACACAGAGTAAACCTTCGTGTAATGCTTTCAAGTTTTTTTCTTTTAGCGGATTATTATACTGTTTCGTTTTGAAGCGCTTTTGAGGTGGCTGCTATGTTTGATTGTTATCAACGGCATGTCAAGTTCTTCCCTGTTTTGCGTCTATCTTTAGTCTCATTTACATGTATGTTTCTTCAGCTTGTTATTCAGAATTTGAATTCTTGATTTCTTCCATCTGGGTATTCGATGTCCTCTGGATTAATGTTTTTCCGTCTAGTTCTGAATCGTTTCTACTGTTCAATGCTTGGAATTTCATCCAATTCTCTTATTGCTCGGTATTCTCGACTGGGTCAAATCGAGAAAGCTCGGGCTGTGTTCGATGAAATGCGTGACAAAAGCATTGTGTCATGGAACTCCATTGTTGCTGGGTACTTTCACAACAATCGGCCTCAGGCAGCCCAGAACATGTTTGATAAAATGTCTGAGAGAAATACTGTATCTTGGAACGGCTTGATTTCTGGGTATATTAAGAATGGGATGATCAATGAAGCTCGGAAAGTGTTTGATAAAATGCCTGAGAGGAATGTTGTTTCTTGGACTGCAATGGTTAGGGGGTATGCGAAGGAGGGTATGATTTCTGAGGCAGAGGCACTTTTTTGGCAAATGCCTGAAAGGAATGTAGTGTCTTGGACGGTGATGTTGGAGGGGCTTATTCAAGAAGGTCGGATTGATGATGCTTGTAGGCTTTTTGATATGATGCCGGAGAAGGATGTGGTGGCTAGAACTAGTATGATTGGAGGGTATTGCCAAGCAGGACGTTTAGCTGAAGCTCGTAGGCTTTTCGATGAGATGCCTCGTAGGAATGTTGTGTCTTGGACTATGATGATCACTGGATATGTGCAGAACCAGCAAGTGGATATTGCTAGAAAGCTGTTTGAAGTTATGCCTGAGAAAAATGAAGTGTCATGGACTGCTATGCTGATGGGCTACACCAATTGTGGGCGGCTTGATGAGGCTTCAGAGCTTTTTAACTCAATGCCAATTAAGTCTCTTGTTGCTTGTAATGCAATGATTCTTGGTTTTGGCCAGAATGGGGAAGTCCCAAAAGCAAGACAAGTGTTTGATCAAATGAGAGAAAAGAATGAAGGAACATGGAGTGCTATGATTAAAGTGTATGAAAGGAAAGGCCTTGAGTTAGAAGCACTACAGTTGTTTTGTATGATGCAAAGAGAAGGAATAAGGCCAAACTTTCCTTCTTTGATCAGTGTTCTTTCAGTTTGTGCTAGCTTAGCCACTCTCGATCACGGTCGAGAGATACACGCACAGCTGGTGAGATCCCAGTTTGACCTCGACGTCTATGTCGCCTCTGTTCTTCTCACGATGTATGTAAAGTGTGGCAATCTGGTGAAGGCAAAACAAATATTTGATAGGTTTGCAACTAAGGATGTTGTTATGTGGAACTCTATTATTACAGGATATGCCCAACATGGTCTAGGGGAGGAAGCGTTACAAGTTTTCCATGATATGCATTTTTCACGTGTCGTTCCCGACGATATCACATTTATAGGAGTTCTTTCAGCATGTAGTTACACTGGCAATGTGAAAAAGGGCTTAGAAATTTTCAACTCCATGGAAATGAAGTATCAAGTGGAACAAAAAACTGAACACTATGCATGTATGGTTGATTTGCTTGGTCGAGCGGGTAAGCTAAACGAGGCGATGGATTTAATCGAAAACATGCCAATGGAAGCAGATGCTATTATTTGGGGGTCTTTATTAGGTGCTTGTAGAACCCACATGAGATTGGATTTGGCTGAAGTTGCAGCCAAGAAGCTTCTACAGCTTGAGCCTAAGAATGCAGGGCCTTACATTTTGTTGTCAAATATTTATGCATCTCAAGGTCGATGGAACGATGTCGCCGAGTTGCGAAGAACTATGAGAGATAGAAGTGTGAACAAGTCCCCAGGCTGTAGCTGGATTGATGTGGATAAGAAAGTACACATGTTTACAGGAGGTGAGAGCTCTGGACATCCTGAGCATTCAGAGATCATGAGAACATTAGAGTGGTTATCTGGATTGCTAAGAGAGGAAGGATATTACCCGGATCAAAGTTTCGTGCTACATGATGTCGATGAAGAAGAGAAAGTGCAAAGCTTGGGATATCATAGTGAGAAACTGGCTGTGGCTTATGGACTTCTTAAACTACCAAAAGGGATGCCGATTCGTGTAATGAAGAATCTTCGTGTTTGTGGGGATTGCCACACTGCTATTAAACTTATTGCAAAGGTTACAGGAAGAGAGATCATCTTGAGAGATGCCAATCGGTTCCATCATTTTAAGGATGGCTTGTGTTCGTGTCGGGATTATTGGTGATATCGAATGTGTTATTGCATCGAGTTTGAATTAATGCATCCAAATTTTCCCATGCGTTCAAGATTGAAGTCCAGTAAATGACTAAATGACCAACCTTAGTGATTCAAGTTCAGTAAATGACCAACGGCCAACCTCGTACACCCTATATCTTGTTGATTTGGGAACCGCAATCAATTCTGCTGGGGAGAAATGGAAATCAACGAACATGTTGGAAAAAGTTGTCTGATTCATCATCCAAGTGGGTAAACTCCAACCCGCCGATATTGTCATCTTTAAGTTTTTTTTTTTTGAGTTTTTCCTCATTTTTTTTTTTAAACGCGTCTTCTAGGAAGAGGTTTCCACACCCTTATAAAGGTTGCTTTGTTCTCCTCCTCAACCGATATGAGATCTTATAATCCACTCCCCTTCGGGATCTCACAATCCACCCCCTTTGGGGCCCAGCATTCTCGTTAGCACTTGTTTCCTTCTCCAATCAATGTGAGACCCCTCAATCCACCCCCTTCGAGGTCCAACGTCTTTGCTGGCATACCGCCTCATATTCACCCCCTTCGGGGCTTAGCCTCCTCTCTGGCAAGTCGCCGGCTCTAATACCATTTTTAACAGCCAAATGTCCACTGCTAGTAGATATTGTCTTCTTTGGGTTTTCTTTTTCGGGCTTTCCCTCGAGGTTTTTTCTAAAACGCGTCTACTAAGGAGAGGTTTCCACACTCTTATAAAGGATGTTTCATTCTCCTCCCCAACCGATGTGGGATCTCACATGCTCCCTTTAAGTGATATTAATATTTTATAGGGTGCAGCAATTATAAATGAACAGCTTCTACTGTAGAATGTCAAGCGTTTATTGTGACTAGTCATCAAGCCAACAAAACAATTTAAGACTTTTGACTTTATGGAGAAAGTCTAGTTTAAGGGGGAACTAACATCCTTCTTTATATCTATCAATAGGCTAAGTTACAACTTGACTAATTCAAAATCCCCCATTGATATGAGATACTTGTGGATTGGGATCCTAGACGTCTTCCAAAACGCAATGCTATTACATTGAAACCATTTTATTTCAATTCTTCTCCACATTCATACCAAACGATCTGAAGCAAATTGTAGTTAAATGGTGTTGCCCATCTGAATGAAACCTTCAAATACTTTCTTTATTCTTCTGCTCGAACCGGTATGTGTCTTTTTCTTCTTTTGGCCCTGTTTCTTGCCTTCTGGTTTTCAGACCTCAGCTTCGATTTCGGCCAGAAGACGTTTCGAGTCCATTTTTGTAGGCAGTCGTTACTGTAAGCAGAATTGAATCCATGACACGGAAGAATATATGTGACTTATGGCTATGGAGATCCTCCTTGGACAGCCACACATTGTGATATGAGCACAGTATGCGTTGGTTGTTCTGTATTTTCTCTGAAAGAATATTTCTACATGTGCCTACAACTTGTGTAAGCCTATAAGCATCCTCGTTTCATTATGGTGTTCTTGAATGTCCTCTTTTAATCCTTAAACTTTCATGTCAAATATTTGTACTACTTTTATCTCGTGGTTGTGCTAAGCATTGTTTTTGTCTCAAATTTCATGCTTTCAGGTTAGCTGGAGTGAGACAAGACACAAAATTTGGAGAGAATCCCTTGTTTGCAATGGAGACGAGGAAAATAATGCATAAAAAAATGAGCGTAAAGTGTGATAATTGCACTTCTTCTAGATTCATATCAATTGTGATCGTAAGTATTCTTCCGAAAAAATATTTCTCAATCTTGAGGTCGCTTCAAGAGATTCAAAAATTTGGTAATAAATTATTTTAGTCCTCGAACTTTCATCAAAATTAAATTTTTATGTTTATTTTGCATCAACTTATTTGAATATTTCTATATTTGACAGTATTTTGAAATTTTTTAAATCTAAGTTTTTTTTTAACATATATATATTTTTCTTTCATTTTCAGGTTTGATATATGGCACAATTTTGAATAAGTTTTAATTATCTCTAAATG